GCAGCGGGAGGGCGAGCCGGGAGCAAACAGAAGCCGCAAGGCAGACAGGAAGGCACCGGCCAGAGGACCCGCCGAAGGCTAGGGGGGGGGGTCCCGACCCCCCCAGCCCCTTCACCACATGCTAGGGCGGGGGTGGGGCGTGCAGAGAAGTGCGCCCCCCTCCCTGGAAGCGATGTGCGCCTGCTCCATGCTTGCCCGGACGCGGACCCGCCGTGCGAGTTGCAGACCCGGAGGAGGCCGACCCAGCTCACCCCCAGAGAGGCCATGCCCAGGATCAGCCATAAGAGGGGGGGCTGTTTCCGTCCGTCCGATCAGTTAGATGTGTCGGACCATATTTAACAAAAACTCTCTCTTTATTTATCGTTCGTTGTACGTTGATTGAGGCATGATCCATCCCTTTTGTCCATTTACTTATTCCCGCGCATCTCGCCGCGCGGAGATTTGCGTGTTGCAATGAATTGAATCTGCATATAGTGACCGCGTGACTGCTTTGACAGGCGCTGCGGGCGCGCTCATCACAGTAGCGGCATGTTCTTTCTGGCGGCATGAGCAGCGCCATCAGCCCAGCTCTAACCGCCTGGCTCAGGTTTTGACCGCGCAAGGTATAAAGGGTGGCTAAGGGCTCTGCCCGCAAGGCGCCCGCGTCCGCAGACGCGGTACCATTGACAAATCTGCAATATAGCCCCACACGAGCAAATAGCAAAATCCGAATACCGTGCGCAAATCCGACGATGTCGGCCGTGGTGCGTGGACGGGGGCAAGCCTTCAGCTGGTGCCAAGACATCCGTAAAATTGAAGCCAAGAACGTCCGCCAAATCCGTGCTTTCGGATCGAGCCCAGCGTGCCCGCGGCCGTGGTCGTCTGTTTTTGTTTCTCTAGGCTCTTGCGATACTCATTGACATTGTATACATTGATTTCTTTTGTTGGGTTTCAAATCTCTCTCGATCGATTCTCTCGTCATGGGAATGGCGATCGCACGCCACCCTCCTATCCACGCCACCGGCCCCCCGCCCCCTCTCAGCCTCTGGCCGTGTGCCCTGTTCACGCGCTCGCGAGACGTGCAAAAAGAAAGAAAGAAAACAGCAACCCAAACGAGGGATAGGGGAGGAGGACAGGGTCCCCACCTGCACGAGCAGGTTTTGGAAGGACGTAGGACGAGACGTGACAGTTCGTTCATTGCGGCATTTTTTTATTTCCTCATAAGAACAACCCTTGAGCACTACCTTGAGCGCAAGCAGCGCTCCTACAGAGGCGCGCTCCGCCCCGAGGCAAAGCCGCACATCCTAGCAAGCCGCGCCGGCCAGCCGTAGCCCTGTTCACGCGCGCGCGAGACGTGCAGACAGGGTTGCCAGGTGAGAGCGAATGGCGCGGTTCACGCCTCGCACAACAGAGAGAGAGATGCGCTCTGCATGGTGGGACATAAAGGAGAGCGAGTACATTTTGTGTTTCGATTCTCTCGTCATGGGAATGGGCGATCGCACGCCACCCTCTATCCACGCCACCGGCCCCCCCCGCCCCCTCTCAGCCTCTGGCCGTGTGACCAATAAATAAATAAAACGGACACACCAAACAAGGGGTGAGAAGAAGGACAGCCGTGTTGCCAGCTTTTTCTTTTTGTTTTTCGTTCCTCACCAAGACGCCATAATAATCGACCGCCGCCTGGACAGCTCGCCGCGGGGCACCTGGATGTCAAAGCGAGGCTCGTCCCGACCAAAACGCGTGCCGCCGGACCAGCAGAACGTTGATCAGCAGTGCGCTCGCCTCTGGCGCCAAGTCGGGTGCGCCAGCGGCGCGTGCGTCACCGCCCTGGAGTCGTCTCTCGACCACCTCTGTTGCTGCACAAACCGAGCCCCGCCGAGACCGCCACCGGCGCTGCCGCCGCCTCCGCTAGCACCGCCTTCCCCATGTCCGCCTCCTGCCCGCCCGTTCGAGGCGTTGGCAGCTCGCAGGTCGCCGCTCGCAGCCGCGCTCAGTGGAGCCGCCATCCCTCTCGTGGTGGGAGTGCTCCTCGCCTGCGTCCTGCTCGCCTGGCACCGCCACCGTCAGCGGAACAAGCCGCCGGTGGATGACTACTACGCCGTTCTGGACGTGTCCCCGCAAGCCACTACGGCTGAGATCCGCACGGCCTATCTCGCAGCGGCGAGACGCCTCCATCCCGACAAGACATCCTCGCCAAAGAGGGCTGGGAAGGGGGGCGGCGGCTCGACGGCGGTGGAGGGCGACTTCCTGCGGGTGCAGGCTGCGTGGGAGACGCTGCGGTCAGAGCGGCGGAGGCGCAACTACGACGCGAAGCTTGCTCGCCAGAGGGAGGCGCTCGGGCTCGAAGACCCGAGCTCGAGCTTGCTGCAGGGAGCCTCGGGCGACTGCGGCTGCTGCCTCGGCTGCGTCTTCTCGGGCGGCAAGCTCAAGTCCCTCGAGAGTGCGCCACCGCCAGAAGAGAAAGGCGAAGCTACCGTGCCGGAAAGCGCTCCGTCGGCAGAGTTGGACCAGTGATTCGGTGGTTGTGTGCGGGGAGAAGCGGCGCGCGGCGCGCGGGCTCGAGATGGAGATCGCAAGACGACCGACTCATCGAGAGAGAGTCGAGAGACGCAGGATCTCTAGCGACGTGGGGCGCGGCCGCGGCCGCGGGGGTGGCGCGAGTGCCGCCTGCCAGGCGGTCCCGGGAAGTGTGTGTCCGGCGCTGTCCGCCGCCGCGGCGGAGGGACCGACAGACCCGGTGTCCCGGGAGGTGCGGGAGACAGCCGTCAGCCCGACCGCAGCGCGCAGGAGGAGTCGTGCACCAGGCCCGCAGGCGCCTCTGAAAAGCTGTCAAAACCCTGACGATGTTCAAACACTTTCGAAATTAAGTTAAGGAAAGAGTACAGTGATGGGGGGGCGTCCGGATGGCTCTCGCGGAACGACGACGACACCGTAATGTGCCGGAGACAGAACGTCGGACGACAGGCGAAATGCCCCGCGCACGGCACACAGATATCTACCCCGGTTCGAGGGCTTTCGCGATCGGGTCCAGCGCGACCGTGCGTCTCGCTGCCACGACCACCCACGTTCGTGACAGGAGCACCGCACGCGCGGCCGCACGCTCCAGCCCCCCCGCCCCGTCTCCCTCCACCCCGTCCTCCCTGTATTCTCCGGCGGCCCGCACGCTCCTGTCATGGTATGCTATCGTCGTTGTCGAGAGGCGCGCGGAAGCGCGGCTGCGTCGTGCGCGCCAGAGGAGTCCCGCCCGCTGCTGAGGAGCGCCGCCGCCCGCCCCGTGCCCGCCGGGCCGCCGGCAGCGCACGAGGCCGAGGCCCGTCGAGCGCGCGTCCTACTGCTTTGGTACACACTGCGGCAGCGGCGACCATGTCACCGCGCAATCGCCGCGGGGCCCGTCGGCCGCCGCGGCGCAGCCCTGCAGCCCGAAGCTGCACTGCACGGCGCCGCTCTGCTGCGGCACCGCCATCCACTTCCCCACCGCGAGCGACGCGAGCAGGGCAAGCAGCGCGAAGCCAAAGAGCCACGACGAGCGCGACGGCCGCGGCGAGGGCAGCGCGACGAGCTTCGGCGGCGGCTTGGCGGCAGCGGCGGGCGGCAGCGGCGGCGGCGCGGCGGCGGCGA